TCAAGTATTAAAAGTGGTGCCTCCGTAAGGGTTGAAGACTCTAAAGCAATATATTATAAACTTCGCTTATCCAGGATTATCATATTTGTGGATCAGTCAATATTCTAATCCGAGACGTGGATCAATCCTCTCTCTAATTAATTCCTTCCATGTTTTCCATAATCAATGTAATCCATTCCCTCAATGTGGTAGTTAACGTGTCCACAACTGTCCCTCACCTCCTGTCCTTCCCTCCAGCGGACCACCCAATGACCCACTTAATTGTCCAATGATCGTTAGCGTCAATCATTACATCCCCGAGGCTCTGTTGATCCCTCTAACGACCCATTAAGGCCATCGGCTGTTGGTCGCTAGCTCGTGTAAATACCCGACTCAGAAGTTGTCAAACTTTTCGTACGGTCGAAATATTTTCATCTTTGTAACTGGTGACGTTAGAATGACACCCAGAACGGCTCACTTTAACTACCATACGAAGACAGATTCTTAAAATGTTCACGGGGTAATTTTTTTCGTCTCTTATAACTCTTAATGTGAGCTTTCATTTGCCTTGTTCAATTAAGTTCTCATTAAAACTATCTATACGTTTTAAGTCAATTTGGATGAAACTGATAAAACATCCATACGTCTTAGATTAATTTAGAACGCATCTGGTGAACCATATATACGTCTTAGATTCAAAATTAGACGTATAAACGCACCACCGGACAAGAGTGACATATATAGCCACCAACCTTGTAGAAAGACGGCTGGTAATTCTGACTGCGGTCCATCCTGGGATTATCTGAACACGCCGCTGTGGTATCCAACCCGACTGACAATCCCCTTAATGGTTCTCTTCCCAGACCCTCACTTCCCAGACCACCGTGTTGTCGCCTCTTAGTATTGATCTCTTCCCGACACTTATAACCCAACCTTGATTTATTGACGGGGAGGGGAGGGGGGAGGAGGAAGAAGAGGTGGAGGAGGAGGAGGAGGAGGAAGGATATTTGCATCAGTTATCCCTCATTAGTGTGGGATTAGCGTATTATGAGGAATGATGGGAGAGAAACTATATTGTAGATGAGAGTTTTCTAAATTTGGATTCGAAGTTAGATTTTGAAATTGGATTGCTCTCTCTCTCTCTCTCTCTCTCTCTCTCTCTCTCTCTCTCTCTCTCTCTCTCTCTCTCATTCTAGTATCCACCTTCAATCTAAACAAAACAGAAACAGGCAAAAAAAGAAAAAAAAACCGACAAGTAATCCTGTCAACAGAAAGTCTCACTGAGGGTAAACAGAGGTCGTCCACCTTCTCGCCCGCCATAATTCTGTAAATCAGCCCCCCCTTGTCACTCGCCAGTCTTTGTAAACTAGCAGCCTTGTCACTCGCCATAAATCTGTAAACGAACCTCCTCATCACTCGCCATAATCCTGTAACTAGCATGTCACTCCTCACCCTCCTTACCTTCCTCTTCCTCCTCCTCCTCCCTGTAAACTTAACTAGGGGGAGCCTGTTATCAGCTTATCTCGTCTTATCTACCGTCGGTGAGTACCTCGTCACCACACACCTGAAGATAACGTCACCAGCAGGTAAACTTCCTCCCCTTCTCCTCCTCCTCCTCCTGGTGTGTCGAAGCTTCGTACAAGGTCTGGTAAAGAGATTCACAAAGGTTTGGACAATGACTCTCAACCTGGCCTCCAACATGAAAGAGGTCACACAGAGGTCGGTCTTCGTGTGCTTGGGGAGGCCTTTAGAGACCATCTTTTATATAAGAACGCAAGAGGTTGGCCTCCACTTCTAGCGGCAGTCTCCCAGAGGTCTTAGATGCCTCAGAGGTCAGCGTCGGCAGCAGCTGATAGAGGCACCACCAGCTCCCAAACTTAGCCATGCCTGACGCTTTCTAAGGGGACATTATTAGTATATTTTTTGTAAACAAGTACTGTAAGTGGCAGTCGCGTGAGTGTTGCACTATAATAATAATAATAATAATAATAATAATGATAATAATAATAATAATAATAATAATAATAATAATAATAATAATAATAATAATAATAATAATAATAATAATAATAATAATAATAATAATAATAATAATAATAATAATAATAATAATAATAAATAATAATAATAATAATAATAATAATAATAATAATAATAATAATAATAATAATAATAATAATAATAATAATAATAATAATAATAATAATAATAATAATAATAATAATAATAATAATAATAATAATAATAATAATAATAATAATAAATAATAATAATAATAATAATAATAATAATAATAATAATAATAATAATAATGATAATAATAATAATAATAATAATAATAATAATAATAATAATAATAATAATAATAATAATAATAATAATAATAATAATAATAATAATAATAATAATAATAATAATAATAATAATCATAAATCTGTCACTTAATTCGCCTGTAGAGAGACAGTGCAAAAAACTGTAGAACAGAAAGACGGAAGGTGTAGGACTGTAGGTGCCTGTGCAGCAGTTGGGTGGCTTGGTGGGCGGGTGGGAGTGCAGCGGATGGACGGGTGGGTGGGTGGGTGGGTGGGGGTGGCTGTGGTGGTGATACTGTCAGCTTAGCGCAGCCGCCACCGCCAAGCAGTAATGGACACCGGGATTAAGCCAAATTACAGAGGATCACAACCAATAAAACCAGACTTACACTGCCCTGGCTGGGAGGCTGACCTGACGCGGCTGTTGCTACTACGACTACTGGTGGGAGGGGGTGGTCTCTCTCTCTCTCTCTCTCTCTCTCTCTCTCTCTCTCTCTCTCTCTCTCTTGATCTTCTTATCTATGTTCCTTTATCCATCTCTAACTTATCCTCTTTCTTTCTCCCCCTGCCTATTTTTTTTATATTCTGTCTTTCATTTTCTGCTTTTCTGTCTATATTCGTCTGTCTTTCTGTCTCTGCTCTTGGATCAGGGAGAGGAATGGATGGTGGAGTAGGTGAGGGAGAGTGAGAGGGTAGTATGGATAAGGGAGAGGTTGTTATAATTAAGATAAGCTGGAGGGTCAGGGAGGGTCAGGGAGGAGATGGGAAGGGTGTGGAGAGTGTAAGGGTGATGAAGGGTGAGGTGTTGGTGAGGGAGAGAAGCAATAGCGTATAGGTCAGTGTGTGTGTGTGTGTACGTTGAGACAAGTTATGCTTTGGACACTAATAGAAGATGCCACAACACACACACACACACACACACACACACACACACACACACACACACCACACCACACCAACAACGTCCTCTGATGGAATCCTTTTTAGTCCCTTATATACTCCTTAATGGACCTTCAGGACGCCTCTCGGGTAAGTCCCTCGTGTTAGGACGTCCGTGGGAGAGTGTGTGTGGGCAGGGTTTTATGGCTCGGTGTCCCTCAGGTCACCCACACCAGCCAGGAAAACAATGGACACCTCGGGACGTCTTCTCACCACAGACAACTTTGTTATGGATGGGATGGAATGTTAGCCAGGCGGTTCTGTACTCACATGCTTTATACAGAGTGACTCAGAAAACAAAATATATAAACTTCCTCACACATTTTTCGTGACGATTGGCTGGATTCTTACACTACAACATCATCAGTTGTCCCCACATGTAATGCAAGAATTCACACGATCGACACGAGACACTGTGAGGCCGTACGTGTCTATGAATTTGTCAGACACCCTGTATATGTTCCCTGTTGAAGTTCCCTGTAAAAGTTCCCTGTAAAAGTTCCCTGTAGAGGTTCCCTGTATAGGTTCCCTGTAGAGGTTCCCTGTATATGTTCCCTGTAAAAGTTCCCTGTATATGTTCCCTGTAGAAGTTCCCTGTAAAAGTTCCCTGTAGAGGTTCCCTGTAGAGGTTCCCTGTAGAGGTTCCCTGTAAAAGTTCCCTGTAGAGGTTCCCTGTAGAGGTTCCCTGTAGAAGTTCCCTGTAAACGTTCCCTGTAGAGGTTCCCTGTAGAGGTTCCCTGTAAGACTCTCAACATAATTACGAAGGATAAGACTCAAGGCTGGGAGGAAAAACGTTTACACTAAGAACGACAAGAGACTATAAAGTTGTTTACGGTTTTTAAAATCCAATTAAAATATTATAGTAGAGGATGATATAAAAACGTAAGTAACAATTAAATCCTATCCTAACCTAACCTAACCTAACCTAACCTAACCAAACCTGAGTAATTAATATAAGCTGTTCAGTCTTTAATATTAACTGGATATTTTGTACCTATATTAAACACAGTGATAGATTAACACCAAAAAACTGAGAGAGAGAGAGAGATGAAGGTATATGCTTGTGTGTGTGTGTGTGTGTGTGTTCATCCACAGTGGAGGTATAGATTGATTGAATAAGCAGTACGTGTTTGTATACGCAAGTAGATACGACAAATGCTTCCTGATGCTTAGCGCTCCACACACACACACACACACACACACACACACACACACACACACACACACACACACACACACACACACACACACTACAAAACGGATATAGTTCACCAATACCCACAAGAAATAAAAACCTATCCCCTTCTGCCTTCATTTTGTAACAGTAACACCAGGTGACTTATAGACCATAATAATCACCTATGCACACCCACCAACAGCTTACTTCCGGCCCGTCAATTATGCAGTTTAACGTACAAAGCGTTTTATATTGTATTAAGTTGAGCGATAGTAATCTTTACGGCCAGAAGGGTGAGAGAAACTTGCCCTGTCATAGTGAGCTAAGTGCAGGGTGTATGTGTGAGTCATTGGTGGCTGCAGCTGAGGACACAATGCTCGAGGGTGAGGGAGCTGAGGATACAATGCTCGGGAGGGTGAGGTAGCTGAGGACACAATGCTCGAGGGTGTGAGGTGGCTGAGGATACAATGCCTGGAGGGTGAGGGAGCTGGAGGATACAATGCTCAGAGGGGTGAGGTAGCTGAGTGATACAATGCTGAGGAAACAGGTAACTGAGGACACAATGCTCGAGGGTGAGGTGGCTGGAAGATACAATGCTCGAGGGTGAGGTAGCTGAGGATACAATGCTCGAGGGTGAGGTAGCTGAGGACACAATGCTCGAGGGTGAGGTGGCTGAAGATACAATGCTCGAGGGTGAGGTAGCTGAGGATACAATGCTTAAGGGTGAGGTAGCTGAGGACACAATGCTCGAGGGTGAGGTAACTGAGGACACAGTCTCGAGGGTGAGGTAGGGGAGGCAGCCATGGTTGTGTGGACGGGAGCCAGTAAGGGTTATTCCTCCATGCAAGTTCCTTTCTGATTTGTGTTACCGGGAGACCAATGTTGTGTGTGTGAGTGTGTGTGAGTGTGTGTGTGAGTGTGTGTGTGTGTGTGTGTGTGTGTGTGTGTGTATTATATTGTCTTAGAGTGTTTTGAGATGATGTGAAGTATTATGAGATGATGTGAAGTGTTTTGAGATTGTGTGAAGTGTTTTGAGATGATGTGAAGTGTTTTGAGATGATCTTGAGTGTTTTGAGATTGTGTGAAGTGTTTTGAGATGATGTGAAGTGTTTTGAGATGATGTAAAGTGTTTTGAGATGATGTGAAGTGTTTTGAGATGATGTGAAGTGTTTTGAGATGATGTGAAGTATTATGAGATGATATGAAGTATTATGAGATGATGTGAAGTGTTTTGAGATGATGTGAAGTGTTTTGAGATGATGTGAAGTGTTTTGAGATGATGTGAAGTGTTTTGAGATTAAGTGAAGTGTTTTGAGATGATATGAAGTATTATGAGATGATGTGAAGTGTTTTGAGATGATGTGAAGTGTTTTGAGATGATCTTGAGTGTTTTGAGATTATGTGAAGTATTTTGAGATGATGTGAAGTGTTTTGAGATGATGTGAAGTGTTTTGAGATGATGTGAAGTGTTTTGAGACGATGTGAAGTGTTTGAGATGATGTGAGAGTGTTTTGAGATGATGTAAGTGTTTTTGAGATGATGTGAAGTAATGTAGGAGATGATGTGAAGTGTTTTGAGATGATGTGAAGTGTTTTGAGATGATGTGAAGTGTTTTGAGATGATGTGAAGTGTTTTGAGATTATGTGAAGTGTTTTGAGATGATGTGAAGTGTTTTGAGATTATGTGAAGTGTTTTGAGATGATGTGAAGTGTTTTGAGATGATGTGAAGTGTTTTGAGATGATGTGAAGTGTTTTGAGATGATGTGAAGTGTTTTGAGATGATGTGAAGTGTTTTGAGACGATGCGAAGTGCTTTGAAATCATCATCTCAAAACACTTCAGAGATGGAGATTTCACATAACCTGAATATTCATCGTTTTTTGTTTTTCGAGAAATTTGAAAACACACACACACACGACGTCCCCTCTCGCCTCCTGTATTAAATGTCGCTGATTTGCCCATATATATATATATATATATATATATATATATATATATATATATATATATATATATATATATATATATATATATATATATATATATATATATATATATATATATATATATATATATATACTGTTAATGAATATGTTGTATTTCTTTGTGTATGAACCTCTGTCCTGCGTGGCAGTGAGAAGTGATACCACCCTCAGTGGCAAGACTTGACTGAAGTATTCAGAATAGGCAAACTGTACTCCAAGCTTTGTCAATAAATTTTTTTAAATAAAAAAAAACCCCGAGATACCTGCAGCCGATACAGTTGTGTAAAATCGAGTTAACTCTATAGTTAGGGAAATAATGGTTGTTAAGTGCAATCCCGACGACACTACCTACTTCTGTTAAGATGATTCGTATTGGGACGTCTGGCCTGGCCTTTAGGATCCACTTTTTCATTATAACAGGGAAAGATTTACACCAGATATATACACTTGGTCTAAGAGATGGTGGCACATGTGAGTTGCTGGGAATCATATGACAGAGATCTCCTTGTATTGAAAAATTATGAATATTACTCCTTAAAAATATAATCTTCTTAAAACAGCCGGCATGACTTTGTTGATGTTTGCATTGCCTCTCTTATAATCCAATTTCATATGCAAATTTTCCCCCACGACTATAAAAAGCTGAGGTGCAATAAATCACGAGTATAAGTAGGAAGAGGAGGAGTAGGAAGAGGAGGGGGAGGGGGAGGATGGGTGGGTGGGTGGAGACAGGAATGGAGGAGGAGGAGGAGGAGAAGGAGGAAGAGGAAATTAAGATGTAGTACTCACTCACTCACTCACACACACACACACACACTCTCTCTATCTCCCTCCCTCTCTGGGTCATTTTTCACACGTCCTGTGCCTGAGTGGATGAGATAAGGGATGCTGTGAATCATCTCCTCCACCAACAAGCAGTTAACTAAAGCCTCCGGGACTCAATGATAGGGTTTAATTAATCCCGCTCCTTGCTTGAGGCCAACAGTCGCACTCAAAGTCGGTCTTGTGTACAGAGAGAGAGACGCTCCAAATAAATATGATGTCATGCAGTTACTCTGGTGGAGGAGGGAGAAGGAGGGAGAAGGAGGGAGGATGGAAGGTTATAAGTAGTTGCGAAGATTAATGGTAGGTGAAAAAGAGTGTGTGTGTGTGTGTGTGTGTGTGTCGCTTACTGGCAGGAGGTTAACATAAGTGTGTTTAACATAAGTACGATAACATAAGTATAATAATATAACACAAGTACGATAACACAAGTACGATAACATAAGTACGATAACATAAGTATAATAATATAAATACGATAACACAAGTACGATAACACAAGTACGATAACATAAGTACGATAACACAAGTGTGATTGAGTTAGCTTGAGATGGTATCAGACGCTTATTCTTGTGTGGATCGAATGTGTGAAGGGGAATCAAGTGGAGACCTTGTAAGTGATGCGCTCTCTCTCTCTGTGTCCGTCTGTCTGTTTATCTGTCTGTCTGTCTGTCTGTCTGTCTGTCTGTCTCTGTCCCACAGTAAAATGGTTCTACTCCTGTCTTCTTAACACCACTGAATATAAACTCATCAATATACACACCTTAATTGCCAAGGTGTTAAGTTTTGACTCAATCTGGATAGAACTGTCAAGTGTTATTCAATTCAATTCAAGTGTTGGCACCGTGGATGTTGTCAATGATGTTTAATGATGTAGGGAAGATGTTTTTATACAGAGGAGACGTTAAGGTGTTTATATGTCACAGGTAAGGCTGGGTTGGGTTGGGTCGGGTTGAGTTGGGTCTGGTTGGGTTGGGTCTGGTTGGGTTGGGTCTGGTTGGGTTGGGTCTTAACTCCCAAATAGTATTGAGGGAAGGTGTTGATGATGGACTGTTCTCTAGGTCTGAATGGGTCACACACTCACACACACACACACACACACACAAACACACACACACACACACACACACACACACACACACACACTTACATTCAGGCAAGACCATAATACAGTGTTCAAGTTTATGTATCATAAGTTACCCGGACTAACGGACGGACACATATACAGTACGTACGGACGAACGGAAGATAAGTACAGAAGGATGGATGGACGGACGAAAACACGTACAAAGAAACAATCGGGCTGAGACACTAACAACCGGAATAACAATTGGTCTAAACTACGACTACTACTAATAATAATAATTTTACCGTCCGAAAAATTATCTGTAAATCTATCTCATTAGTTCAATCTGAATACTTCTATGTAAATGCGTATGTTTGAGTGTATGTATGTATCTTGAGGGAACCACTGTTGAAGAGGTACAGAGTGGAACATTAAACAAAGCAGTGTACACACCGTGGCCATCTTGTTGTACTGTACACGTACTAGTCAACAAGGTGTACACGTCGTGGCCATCTCGACATAAGAATGGAAGAAACTGCAGCGGGCCTATTGGTCCATACTAGGCAAGCCCGTTTACACCCAACCCCTATCGCTCCTATATTCAACCAACCTTTATTTGAAGCTACCCAGCGTATTTGAATTAGTCATAAATTTCGGTAACTTGTTCCACTCATCCACTATATTTGCAAACCAATGTTTACCTACCTCGCGCCTAAATCTAAATTTGTCTAATTTAGATTTTAAGTTTAAGTCCCTTTGTTATATCACCTTTGTTTAGCCCTGACTTCCATTTATACACCTCTATCTTATCGTCCCTCACTCTGTGTCTCTCGAGGGAGTGCAACTGATGATGCTTTAACCTGTCTCTGTACTCAAGGTTCCTAATGCCCGGGATTAGTCTTGCCATTCTTCTCTGAATTCTTTCTCGGTGACCAGAACTGAACTGCGTAATCCAAGTGAGGTCTCACAAGCGCAAGATATAGTTTTAGGATAACCTCGCTAGTCTTGTAACTAACACTCCTTTGAATGAACCCAAGTACTTTGTTAGCCTTGTTTCGAGCAAATACACATTGTTGTCTCGGTTTAAGATTCAAACTTATCATTACTCCTAAATCTTTCTCACAGTCGGATTTCTCTATAGCATCGTTGTTCATCTGGTATCTGGTTTCTCTGTTTACATCTCCTAGACTAAGTACTTTACATTTACCCACATTAAATTTCATCTGCCATTTTTCAGAACAATCGAAAAATTTGTATAGACTTTAGATCATCCTGTAGTTTTCCGGAGTCCTCGTCATATTTAATTACACGCTCTATTTTAGTGTCGTCAGCAAATTTACTAATGTTGCTGTCTACGCCTACATCTATGTCGTTTATGTATATAATAAATAGTAATGGTCCAAGTACTGAACCTTAGGGTACTCCACTTGTGATATTACCCCAATCGGATTTGGTGCCATTAATACTGACTCTGTTTTCTGTCCCGTAACCACGCCTTAATCCAGTTTAGAATATCTCCTCCAATTCCACGAGCATCCACTTTTCGTGTGAGTCTTTCGTGGGGGACCCTGTCGAAGGCATTGCTAAAGTCGAGGTAAATCACATCATAATCGTGTCATTTATCCACTGATTCAAAAACAGTTGAAAAGAATGTTAATAGATTTGTCAGACATGAACGGCCACTTGTGAAACCATGTTGGGAATCATTGATCAACTTGTGCTTCTCCAGGTGATTTCGAATAGCATGAGATTATGCTTCCAGTAATTTTCCTACAATTGATGTAAACTAATTAGACGGTAGTTAGAGGTTAGTGATCTATCTACCTTCTTGAAAATTGGTATTACATTCGCTATCCTCCAGGATTCTGGTACTATACACGTGCTAGACGAAATGGTGTACACGTCATGGC